TAGAAGTGATCAAGGAATACAGCGGCATCTCAGGTTACAAAATCAATACTCATAAATCTGTAGCCTTTATATATACCAACAGCAGCCAAACTGAAAAACAGTCAAGGACTCTATTCCGTTCACAGTAGTGCCAAAGAAGATGAAATGTTTGGGAGTTTACTTAACAAAGGACGTGAAAGATCTTTTTAAAGAGAACTATGAAACTCTAAGAAAAGAAATAACTGAAAATACTAACAAATGGAAAAGCATACCATGCTCATGGCTGGGAAGAATCAACATTCTTAAAATGTCCATACTACCCAAAGCAATATACAATTTGAATGCAATCCCTATTAAAGCATCACTGTCATACTTTAAAGATCTTGAAAAAATAATATTTCATTTTATATGGAATCATAAAAACCTCAAATAGCCAAGACATTACTCAGAAATAAAAACAAAGCAGGAGGAATCATGCTACCAGACCTCAGATTATACTATAAATCCATAATGATCAAAAGAACATGGTATTAGCACAAAAACAGAGACGTAAATGTATAGAGCAGAATAGAGAACCAAGAGATAAATCCAACTACCTACTATTACCTGATCTTTGACAAGCCAATTAAAAACATTGAATGGGGAAAACATTCCCTATTTAACAAATGGTGCTGGGCAAACTGGCTGGTGATCTGAAACTAGGTCCACACCTTTCACCATTAACTAAGAGAGACGCTCACTGGATTAAAGATTTAAACTTAAGACACAAAACTATAAAAATACTAGAAGACAATGTAGAGAAAACACTTGAAGAAATCAGCCTGGGCCAAAAAATTGTGAGGAGGACCCCCAGGGGAATTGAAGCAACATCAAAAATACACTTTGGGGACCTGATCAATCTAAAAAGCTTCTGCACAGCCAAGAACACAGTAAGTAAAGCATGCAGACAGTCCTCAGAATGGGAGAAGATATATGCAGGTTATGTCTCTGACAAAGGTTTAATAACCACAATCCATAGAGAACTCAAACGTATTAGCAAGAAAAGATCAAGTGATCCCATCTCAGGGTGGGCAAGGGAATTGAAAAGAAATTTCTCTAAAGAAGATAGGCACATGGCCTACAGATATATGAAAAAA